GAGGATTGTTATCATAATCTGCCGTCGCAAGTAGAATCGATGGGAATAAAGAGCGCGACGATCAACATCCGCTGGCTCGCGAGAAGCGGCAAAGTGGAGAGATATTGAATAGCGCGAGTAGAAAAGAGCCATTAGAGCCGCACGACTGTGTCGTTGGCTGGCGGCCTTCTTTGAATGATTAATTACTTTCGACTCCTCTCCCGCGGCTGTGCCGTGTGAATAATAAATTAATCCGTGCAAATTCGCCTTGTAAAACACGTGTTGCCTTAAGTAAATTAGCAAATACGCAGTTGGAAGACCGGTATTTTTCAATATAATATCGCGAGTAACAACTTTTTAAACGAAGCGCGCACGATTCGCGAAATCTTTTTCTCTCTCGAAAACAGATATAGGCTCTCAAATTGTTTCCGGCCGCAATCCGTTGGGCGCGCGATCGATTGCTTTTCAAGGTGCGTAAATAAATGACTAAAGTTTTCAAGACACGTAATCAAAACGACGGTTCGCGATCGAAAATCCGTTGCCAATTGCTCCAAGCGCTTGGTAGCTGTGCGATAGAAATTTCGTAGCGCGTCGTCACTAGCGAAGGAATCCGATCGTCCTCGATACTTCGTAGTGGAGCTAAACTGGAGCACACGTCGTCATCATCGTCGTCGAGTGACGGAGCCAAGGTAAGCCGCGATAATTGTATAACCGGCTTCCGAGAAGCAGAACGCGCTTAGTTGTATGTCGATATATACATATATATATATATATATATATATATTTGATATATCGTCGTTGTTAGTGTCACCAGATCGGACCGATACGCAACTAAGAGCAAGTGTAAGAGACTCGTATCCTGTCCTATAGAAAGTTAGCACGATTTGTGTTTTTAGATAAATTCGATCCAACGGAAAAATGGTAGTTATTTCGACCGAGTCGAAGTCGAAGGAAGCGACAAATTACAGCTACTTTCCTTCAATATAAATTATTAGACAAGAACATGATCCAAGCGTATGTTTAATATACAGGGTGTACATAAACTGGCGAAAAAATATTTTAATGACCAAGTATTTTGTAACATTTTAAGACGAAAATTCTACTATGAAAATAGGCTGTAATAGTTTTCAAATGGAAGGAGGTTAAAAATCTCAAATAACGAGGCTAGAATTTCGCGCGCTCGTGGCCCGGGGATTCCCATTTGAAAACTGTTATAGTCTCGGCATTTTCGTACTGGAATTTTCATCTTAAGATCTTACAAAGTACTTGTCCTTAAAATACTTTTCGCCAGTTTAGATACACCCTGTACATTTAGTTTAAACGTTTAAATAATATCCGTTTGACGTCGCGTTTCACGCGTATTTCGTACCGGTTTCGGAGAAAGAAAAAAAATAGAAAGATTCACGGGGAGGAGAAGAAGAACGCGCGAGCCGCGCGAGGAGAGGGAAGGAGAAAGAGTGAAAAGGGGGGGGAGGGAGATGGTTGCGAAGAGCGGGAAGAAAGAAGCGGGATAGAAAAAGAGCGGCCAAATAAGCCGTCGCAGGACGAGTAACGAGGCATATAATAACCCTCGGTGACATTCGAACAAACAGCCATCTGTAGGTAATACCCCTGTGGTGAGGAACGCCCCGAAAACTGCGTCCCGCCAAGAAATTACAATGACAATGAGCGAAATCCGATCCGCCCGCGGGCACGCACTGTATTTCTCTTTCTCCCGTCGTTTTTTTCCTCTCCTTCACACCTCTCGCAGCTAGCGCGGTACACGCACGCGCGATTCCGCGCGCTCCGGTAGGCACTCGGCCATTGTGCGGCGCGACGATCCGAGGAGACGAGAAGAATTAAATCGTCGTTGAAAACGAGGGTCGCGTAATACGTTTGCGGGCCGTGCGCGTATGTGCGGGCTCCGAAAGTCCTTGTTTCCTACAATCACGCGTTTCCTAAACAACACTGCTAGGGCCCGGTTTCGCCAAACGTTGCTTAACTCCAATCGTAGTTCAATTCATGTTTGTGTCTTTCTAAAGTAACAGTTGGAAAGAGACAAAGAACGAATTAAGCTAAACTTAAAGTTAACGTTGGCAAAACCGAGTCTTAAAGTAGTAGGAATAGACAATGTTAGTCTCGTCGGTACTCTGGGGAAAAAAAAAGATAGTTAAGCAACCCATTTTGGGGCCCACAATTAGTAATCGAATTATTTTACGAACTAAAAATCGCAATTAGCTATTCTATCTATATTCACGATTTTTAAGTAACACTAATCAAAACCCTCTCAATTAGTTCTGTCGATATTCAGTAACGCAAAGATAATTTTCACTTTAAGAGGCGCTAATCGAAATGTTGAGTTGCTTAACTGCAAAAACAAAACGGCCAAAATTTTTCCCAGTGTTACGAACAATCCAAACAATTCGATTACTAATTGTGGGCCCCAAAATGGGTTGCCTAACTGTCTTTTTTTCCCCCAGAGTATTAATATTAACGCGACGATCGCAGAGCTTTAATATTACCATCGAGTGATCGAGTGATCGATTGATGTTTGTCGCGGTTTCATCGATCACGGCCGCCGTCGTGACATTTTTATTAAAAAATTGGGTCGTCAGGGTAAAATCCAGCCAAATGACCATTCCTCTCGCTGTTGGTTTCTAACGTGCGCGATCGGGAGAAAGCGCGCGGCACTTTTGACGTCCTCCCGGCCAAAGCGACGAAAATTGCCGCTACCATATTGGGCGGCGGTAACGCGGTACGATTTCGTAATTAATTCATAGATCGAAAGTTACATATATCTCAGCCACAGGTGTAACCGGACGAACTCTCGTCGGAGTCCTCTCCGTTCGGTACGTTCGTCGATGAGATACGAATCGGTCTTGAGTGAGCGTGATACTTTCGCAAGAAACGCTGGCCGCGATTCGATCTCGCGTTGACGCGAGCCGAGGCGGATCGCTCGCGGAACTGGGCATGGTGCAAGTTTCCTTATAATTTCCACCGTGAGATCCGTAATATACATCCTCCTTCGCCGCGTAACTCACTCGAAATTACGCAATCGCGAAACTGCGCGACGCGGAATTTTACGCGTGAATTTCACGGCGTGTCATCGTCGAAACATTCGAGTCGCTTATTCAGAAAACAAGTTTAACCCTTTGGAGCACGGTTGTAACCCACGTTACCACCTCAACTTTACTTTTCGGCCATTTAATTTCTAGTTAACGCATTTAGGTTGGGTTTTTTTTTTGCATTTTTCGGGTATCGTAGCGATAAAAGAACATAAAAAAGTTAGTAGTTAAGTAGTCCTTAATATTTACGTAGCTTTTAAAAAGCGATCTACACTGTTGAGCCTTGTATGAAAAGTTTCACAAAAAATGCCTCAATAGAAAAATGTATGCTTCAAAGGGTTAAATCATAGTATAACTAGTAGGTCCACTCCGTCATTTGTTTAATATTGCGTCGTTCCTTTTTGCGCATTCGTAATTATTTTGACCAGACCAATGAGAGAAAAGCTGTATGTGTGGTAGTGCAGCTTTGAATGTGTACATAAACACACACGCCGCTGGATTGCTGTCCAAAATAATGGCAGAATACCGCGTGATCGGGACCGAAAAGTTCGAAGGGCCGTCAGAGAGTGGACCTACTAGTTATACTATGTTTAAATCAGAGAGCCATACATGCACCACGTATGCCTAATATAAGATAGCGGAGTTTCTGCTAAATTAATAGGAACCATCTGTTGATTCCACCATAAATTGATTGCTCTTGGTGCGAAATCTGTTTGTGGAAAATTCATTGTTAGATCGTGCAATCGTTGCGATTAAAGACTTATATTGTGATTGAATTTGAATATATTGTGATTGAATATATTGTGATTGAATTTGGGTGTTGAAAATATTAGAAACTTCTCTCACAATAGAGAATTTTCCTCAAATCCCCGTGAAGATCGAGGCGATTATTTTGTTCAAACGCACGTAAGCGCATGGAGCGACTAAGAAATTCATTTTACACGGTAACAGACAATATTTTGCAACGTATCGTTAGACGAAAAATATTACAGGCACAAAGCTCGATATTCAGATTTATATCTGACGATTAATTTTTACAGAGCGTAATCCTATTGTACAAGAAACTTTCCAGGAATGGAGCCGAGAGTTAAACGTGACCGTGCACGCGAACCTGCAGAGGTAATTTATCGCGTTGCGATTCAATACGACGCCCTTCGATAATTCTGCCGTTCGCGGGCTCTTACGATCTCTTTCGTCGATCGATGTTACGGGAGGGACGGCCGCTCGCGTAAGAACCCACCGTTCTCGCGTTACTTTTACACGCGCGAGAAGATAGAGATAGAGCCGTAGGTTTATTTTCACAAACGGTTAGAAATCTAACCGCCTGCCCTTGACACGGCGGAGAGCAAGAGAGAGATAAATTCTAATTAAGGGCGACAAGTCCCGCCGGCGCGGTTACTTTATATTTCCGGTCGCGCAGTGGCCGTTTTATTGTCGGGATTATCGCCGGCGCCTCGCTATTTCGAGCTGGCACGCGTTGCACTTTATGCAACGCGTAAATTTACCCCCGTGGAATAAATTCCGAATCGAACGATCCCACGATCGCGGGACACCTCGCGGCGTAAAAATGCAGATCGAAATTCGTAGGGCATTTCTCGCGAGATAAGTGTCTATATAAAACAGAATAAGATGACCTCCAGTCTCATGAACTTTTGACAAATAACCGGCAGAATCGTTGATAAGTTTGCGATTCCACGCTTCTCTGTTTCTGTTAAAATCTGCACGGGAAGAAAACTGTAGCTGCCGTAGCGAAAAACTGCGGCAACTAAATTTCAGTTGTAAAATATTGTCGGCTAATATTTAGTTGTGATAGCTAAATATTTTGTTACTGGGCCTATTGTATTAGGTACGACAGCAAACCGTTTGCCGTGGTTTGGAAATTCATAGTTACGGCAGTAAAATATTTTTAGCAAACCATGATTAGACGTTTTTTTTTCAGTGTGTAGAATAAGATACTTGACAATCGTAATTACTTACTTTTCAATAGTGGCAGGTCGTTCATGAACCCTCCATCGTCCACGTTTGTGTTCTGAAACGTAAGAAAAATTCCTATTAAATCTAATATCAAACTTGCTAACATGTCATCTATAAATGTTTTAATAAATGTTGAGGTAATGTTTTAAAATAAAAAATTTGAATTAAACTCATACATTATTTTTATATCAAGCTAAACATTTTAACGTAATATTAAATCGTTTTCCGTTGTATAGCGCTAAGTAATTATATCATATAGTTCGAATCGTAAAAGAAAGAATTCACCTATAAAATTCATGGGTCTCTATTTAGTTTTATGTAGCATATAATTATACTTAAATTTCTCAGAATTCTTCAATATTAAATCTCTAACATCACTGCATTATTTGGTATTAAGCTCAAGAAAAATTTTATTGTTAATATTTGCGATTCAGGAAAGGTGCGCAGTTTTATCCGATATTTTCATCAGACGTTTAAAAAATTTGTAATGAAAAAAGTAGATATAAAAAGATTTAGTAATGTAACGAGTAATTAGTTAATTCTTTTTCATGAATATTTTTGCATGCAATGAATCGACTACCCGGTATGTGCTTGTTTAAAGACAAGAAAAATGTTTGAGACCGCAACAAAGTACGGTATGTTTCGCAGCATTCCGTCCCGCGTTGTAACAAGCATCTGACATTCTATTTAACGAACGCTGAAACTTTTGATGTTAACATAACTGCTTTTGTACGTTTTGTAAAAAAAAAAGGTACGCGGACTAATCCAAAAGGAATCGACAAACATTTGTTCCACGGAATTTAACCGCGAGAGATAATCTAAAAGATTAAAGAACGCTCGGCTTTTTCCCTTTACTTTCTTCAATATTGACAACTACACTAAGAAAAATATATATCTGATTAAATATAATCGGACAATCCACAATTACATAATAATAAACGGATATATCCGATTAAATTCTATATCTGATGAAACATGTGATCGGTTTCTCGATTAAATTTCATCGGTAACTGCATTTTATCGAATAAATATTAATCGGAAAAGTTAATCGGACAAATTAACCATCGGAAACGATGGAAATTTTTCTCAGTGTAAGGTTAAATTCCGTCTCGTTTTGTTTCCTTAATTATTATTTATATCAAAGGTTTAGAAATTATTCGACGTGAAGGTCTGTGTTCACGAAGTTAGAAATTGGTCTAAATTCTAGTTTCGAGAGATGTGTAGCCAATCCACTTGCAGCTATTCCATAAAAGCTGCGAGTTGATTGATTACACATTTCTAGCATCGTAGACACCGGCCTTTACTGGCTAAAATGTCTCTTTATTCAAAACACAACGTTTCGACCGTGAATTCCGGTCCTTTTCAAGTGTAGGGCAATCACACAACAATTCTAGAGTCGGACATTGTGCCGGCAATAGATCTGAATCTAAAGACTATAAATATAACAAATCTATAAAACTGTAGTCACCGGTAATGAAACAATGAACTAATTCTTTTTAACAATAGAAAAAATTCTTCAACGACTTTAAACTGGCCAGGTGGTTTATTTAATAACTCATTCCAACGTTTCGACCATCCGGATTGTGGTCCTTTTCGAGGAAAAAATATCGACAATTTTTGGAGAAACGTAGCGTCTTTAAGCCGTTCGTGTAACAGATTGATCGTCAAGACGGGATAACCAGAGTGAAGGAACAGAATACGACACCACACTTACGTGTTAATTAGTGAAAATTATGAAAAAGGCTGTCGTCCGATGTTCGAAGGCACGTCTGTCCGACACAACAGCCGCTGTAGGATTACAGTCAGGAACGTTACATCGGAATGATTCCTTTCACATTATTTATATCTCTAAAAAGTCTCCCGCGGGGGATTAACGCTTCGCACATCGCGCGGGTCCGCGGACGAAGAACACCCTGGCGCAAAATGATTTCGGAGCAGATCTCGAGCGACCGCGGCGCCTGCCGTTTGAAACGTCGCGCGGTTTATCCCCGCCGGAGGAGACGCGCCGAGGGATGATAATAGAGAAAATATGTTGCGATTACGTACATCGTCGCTCACCTGGGGGTCGTCAACGAGGCTGCTGTGCAGAACGAGGTCGGTCTGGTCGAGGCCCGGAGGCGGTAGGAGGGCGTCAGGACGGCGCACGGCGCCATACTCGACGCCCCTTCCACCGCCACCACCGCCGCCGCCGCCTCCACCGCCGCCACCGCCGCCACTACTGCGTCCGCCGTCGTACGGGAACGACGCGTGCATGTTCGTCTGAAATCAGAACGACGTTTCGATCAGCCGCCGGTCCAGCGTTCTCTTTATATGTATTGACCCTCTGAAGCCCGACGTAAGAAAACAAAAGGTGTGTCTTAAAGGAACAAACTTGCAAATATACAATTTCGAAGAGCACCGGGAACAAAAAAGATACTTGCACGGAGAGACCGACGTGGTTAGGTTAGGTTAGGTTAGGTTACCACATGTCTAATTAGGATTGGCACAACCCATAGACGTAGAAGATAGACCCAGCATGCCCAGACAGAGAGGCAAAATAGAGTGGCCGCGGGGGGCATGAGAGGGAGCGAGAGAGAGAAATATTGTCTTGCGCAGACAATGTTTTGTCTCTCGCTCCCTCTCGTGCCTCCTGCGGCCACTCTATTTTGCCTCTCTGTCTGTCATGTTCGTGACACGTTGGGAACACGTATACTGGGGGAGCTTTCCAGCAAGCGACACAAGTCGACACAAATGTCGTTCTGTCTTTCTTCGCATTCAATGAATAATAAAGACAGAACGACAGGGTTGGGAAGTAACTCGTTACTTGTAACGAAGTTACAGTTACAGTTACTTCTTTTTGGTAACTCTAACTTAACTTCGTTACTTTTTCTACATCTGTAACTGTAACTTAACTTAGTTACATTTTTTCGATAACTAGTAACTAATTTAACAGTTACATTAATAGTTACTTTATGTATATATTTTCAACCTCCACAAATCGCATTAGGCCTTGCATTTGCGCATAAACGCCTTTATCCCCTGCCGGAAATAATTCTACAAAAAAATTAAATATAACTGCCAGAATCTAACAATAAGAAA